AATGATGAGAATACTTACATTCTATATTTATTATTTAAAATAAAATGAAAATCAACAGTTAATATGTTTTCAAAAACAATGATATTGACTGTAACAATAGTTAAATAATGAAAATACTTACCCCCTACCCATTATTTAAAATAAAGTGAAAATCAACAGTTAGTATGTTTTCAAAAACAATGTTATTGACTGTAACAATAGTGAAATGATGAGAATGCTTACCCGCTACCCATTATTTAAAATAAAACAAAAATCAACAGTTAATATGTTTTCAAAAACAATGTTATTGACTGTAACAATAGTGAAATGATGAGAATACTTACCCGCTACCCATTATTTAAAATAAAACAAAAATCAACAGTTAATATGTTTTCAAAAACAATGATATTGACTGTAACATAGTGAAATGATGAGAATACTTACCCGCTACCCATTATTTAAAATAAAACAAAAATCAACAGTTAGTATTTTTCAAAACAATGATATTGACTGTAATAATATTACAAAAATACTTACTGTACTATTTATTATTTAAAACAAAATGAAAACCAATAATTAATATGTTTTCAAAACAATGATATTGACTGTAATAATAGTACAAAAATACTTACGGGCCTATTTATTATTTAAAATAAAATGAAAGCCAACAGTTAGTATTTTTTCAAAAACAATGATATTGTTATAATAGTAAATATTATAATAAATGAAGTACCTCGCTTCGCCAAATTATTGTTATGAATTGGGTTTGCTAAAGCTACAACAGCAAAGATAATCAAAAAGAGAAGAGAAATATTGAAATTCATTTTGATTTATTCAGATAATTTTTGTCAAGTTTTCACTTTCTTGATTTTCAAATTGTATGGGATTATTGTAAAAGTATTTATAAAAAAAAATGTAAGCGAATTTCAAATTGTATGCAGTTATTATTGGAATTAAGATTAAAGCTGATTTTCTATTTACTTTATTTATATCTTTATTTATTTATTCCTTATATTTCTTTATTTCATTTCTTTCGCACCCCCATGTGACGAAGTGTAGTAATGCAAACAATGAATGGCTTAGCCAAATAAATCGCTTAGCAAATGGCTTGATCAAATAAATCGCTTAGCAAATGTCTTGATCAAATAAATCGCTGGTACGAATACTAAGCTTGTCGGTATTATTATTACTACTACTATTGTTATTATTATTACTATTATTTACTATTGTTATTATAATATCTCGTCTTTAATGGTTCAAATTATTTGTTTTATTCATTATGAATTTGAGTATTCGAATTATATTAAAAGTTTTATTCGAATAAACGAATAAAACGAATAATTCAAATAAAAAGAATAATACGAATAGAACAAATAATTCGAATAGAACGAATAATTCGAATTAAAATATGATTTTTATCCTGCTATGATATATTGTATTTTGCTTTTTGAGCAAATGTATGTTTTTTTTGTCATACTAAGTAATTTAGGTGGACCCATCTCAACTAAATGTCCATGCCATTGAATTCTGCACTAAGATTCCAGACGTAAAAATGAATGTTAAGAAATTTTTTTTTTAGGCGGCTAAGCACTCAAGTTTAGAAAATGATGTAACTTACTTTTATTATTATGTGCTAAAGAAGGATCAAAACAGGCATTTTTATTGTCAACTAATGGATCTCTTTTAAATAATTTAAGTATTAGTATATTAATATGATTTTGAACACAACCTCGCCCAATGTTGTGACCCTAAACTCTGAGTTTAGGGAAAACCCGAAACCGAAACCTCCCTAAATTAGTTTAGGGAGTTTTTAAAATCCTAAACCCTTACCAAAACCCATACTGAAACTAATTTTATACCGAAACACAAAAAACTAAACCCTAACCCGAAACCTAAATACCCTTACTAAAACTAATTTTATACCAAATCACAAACTTTATACCAACAAATTATTTTTTTGTTTTTATTGCAAAATATTACCAATTGATTTTATTTCAAGAATTTTTTTAGATGGATTTAAAATTTTAAAAATTTATTCTAATTTAATCTAATTGTTATTATTTTATTTTCAAACACCATCATTAATTTCTTCAGAACTTTGAATTTCATCATTATTATTTTCGTTGCAATTTCTGTCTTCATTATCAAAACCTAAATTATGTGAATCACAATCCAAATCTTCCTCGTCAGTATCACATTCATAATTAATTTTTTTTTTCTTTTTGCAGTATTAATATCATTTTCACATGTCACATCAAAAAAAATTGGAAACCAAACCATTGGAGTTATATTCATAATTTTCTTTATGTTATAAATATTCTCTACACTTATATCAATTTCATTTTTGTTACTACCTTCATAATTAAATAAAGAATTGTTTTAAATCCATGTAGTCTTCTATTAGAAAATCTATATCTCTATTATGGTTATCATAATATTCATAATCGTCAAGATCAATATCTGATTCTATATCAATGGATTCACCATTACTTTCATTGCCCTGAACACAAATAGAAATATAAATTGAGTTACATTTCTCAAATTTAAATAAATAATAAGCGGAATTATTGGTTTGAATTTTTGAGGGTAGTTAGGTTTTGGATATGGATTTAAGTTTTGGGTAAGGTTTAGGTTTCGGATATGGGTTTAGGTTTCGAGTGTGTGTTTAGGTTTCGGGTAAGGTTTAGGTTTTGTAACCAGAAACCTAAACCAGACAGTTTTAGCTTACCGAAACTGTTTCGGGAAGCCAAAAGGATTTATGGCCACAACATTAGTTGATGATTATCTACGAATTCCTTATGAACGATTAAAGATAGGCGAAGGGAGTTTCCAAAGCTATTAATAAATCTATCATTATCAATTTTAAAACTTTGATGCTGTGATCAAAATATTCGAATTTTAAATTCATTTCGGAATTATTTTGGAATGGATATTATAGTATTGTGAGAAAGTGTCCGGGTCCCTTTCTATTAATATTAATATTAATATTTATCAATTGTAAACAAATTAAAAATTTAAAAAACCATTTATAAATTTAACATGAAACAAATAATAATATTTATAATCTTGATTTAGCAATTCACTCACGTATTTCACGTATCTAATGCATTTATGAGAATCTATAAACACATAATGTTAAAATTCGAATATTCCTAATATTTAAATATTCGTAAAATAGACTGATATGAGGAATACTGCTTCCGACTTATTTAATTAAGTATGATGGGCCAGTAAAATAAAAAAATTTTATACAATCACTAACAAACAGTGAATGCAAATATTTGTTATGAAAAAAAGCGGTCCAATTATCGATATCATTGTTTTTAAATATTAGGCATTGATGTTCTTTTCTAAAGATGAATTCAAGCTTTGTGGGATGGATATGCTAAAAAATAAAAGTCTTTTGAGCTCTAAGGCTTTGATAACTTTGTCAAAAGGTGAAAACGTGGTGTAAATATGTATATTTGTATTTAGTAATTCCAATTCATCAAACCAACCGTTATAATTTTTTTTAATGGCAAAGAAATTAAAACTTGCATATATATTCACACGAACTTAAGCTAAAAATTAGCGATATGAGCTGGCTTGAATGGCTCAGCCGGCTAAGAACTTGGATCAAATTTACTGTTGCTATTATTGTATTAATAATATATTCTAATTCGGCATTGTTATTACTTTTGCTTTCCTTATTATTATCTTTTATCCTGCTACGAGTGTTGTATTTTGGGGGAACAAATGTATGTTTTTTTCTTTTGACATCCCAAGTAATGCGGATGGACCCATCTCAACTAAGTGTCTATGGCATTAAATTCTGCATCAAATTCCAGACGTAAGTTGAATGTTTTTTTATCTACGTATATAATTAATTTGACCTAAGGTTTTTTTATCAGCTGACATTACTACTAAAAATGGTATTTTTTGTTATATAGCAGAATTTTCGAAAAATTGCATCCCGATAGTAAGAGTAATAATAGGAAGTATATATTATATATATAACAGATAAACCTGCAATTTATATACATTTACATATATCAGCCCACAACTTAAATATATAATTGCATGTACAAGCTTACAGAATACATTTATTTATATTGATATATTGTGTTGCTAATTTACTTGTTGCAAAATTATTTCAATCTTATCAAAAGAATATATCAAAAAAAAAAGGAAGATAAAAGTTAATTAGAACTAGAAAGAATTTCTGCCTTCAAATAGTATTATAAACCTTATTATTAATTAATAGGAAGGTGTATATAAATTCAAAAGTGAGATTGCGTAAAGAACAATTTTCTTTGTTTGCTTACCTTATTGAAGCTATAAAAGAATTAAATTAAATTAGTGACATAATGGCTACTTATTAATCTAATTTTATGTTCATTATAACGATTAAACACGACACGACAAACTTAATGTTAACTTATTATCATCCCACTCACCTTTAAATTTTCACCATCATCCTCACTTTCTTATCCACTATCCTCACCTTTAAACTTTTCACTCACACCTCCTGTTTCTTCTTCATTTTGGTTTTTTGTTTCTTCGTTAGTTTGCCATCAATTAGTTCGTACATACCACTTAATTTTCAAAACATTCTTCTTATCACATTTATCACATGGTGACAAAAATTGAAGGACATTAATATTAAAAAGTAAAATTTTCCTAAAAATCACGTGAAAAGTCTGGGGCACGGAGTTTTATAGAAATAATATTCAATGAATATGAACAAAACAGTCAATTGTTAATGGGATTTTCGATACACATGCATATTTAATTAAATACAAAAATATGGAGTTTAACTGCTTTTTTTTTTATTGGTAATATTTGCATTATTTACAATAGAGTGAAAAAACACCTTTTGTCTTTGCACTTAAATATATACGTGCAACGTAGATCTTACTACTTCATTGAAAATCATTTCCATACCTAAGGTTTTTCCACTGCTATTTTTTTATTTGACCTGTTAATTTTTATATTAATATTGCATCCATAAATCTCCAAGGCATGCGAGCATTGCATTTGTATGAACACTCTAATAACACTATATAAAACCATACATGTGAAAAAAAATTCAAAAAGTTTGCATTAAATGATAAGGGCGGAATATGGCGCGTGCGTAAGAAGGAAATTAAATCATTCTAAATAGATATTTTGTTATTGTATAGTTAGTATTATGGTAAGATGCTCAGAATATACATTTGCTTTTAAGGGAAATTCACGTGTAAAAAGCGGAAAGACCGAAGGAAGATCTTACTGGGAAAAGCAGCTAATTCACTTGCATTATTTGCATTTTGCATTGTATTTATCTGGGCATTCCAGTATTGGGTTGTCAATTTAAATACCAAAACTGGTTTAAACCCAGTCGTAATCATTTCAACTTCGTTCTTCAAAAAAAAAAACGAAATGTTCTTTAACATTCATTCACACAAATATTTATATAATGTCTGCCTTTTGTGAGAAATCCTATTTTACAAAATTAACGAAAATATGGGTATATTTAAATCTAAATCACCTGATCTAAAGATTCCACATCTTGATATTTATCATCATGTAACCAGTAATCCTAATTCTATTCCTGATACTAAACCAATTTATATTGATGGATCAACTCGTAAAGAAGTTACTTTTGGTGAACTTAAAAGTTTTACTCGAAAGTTTGCCAGTGGATTAAAATCAATTGGATTTAAACCTGGAGAAGTTTTGGCGGTTGTTTCTCCAAATCACATCCATTTTCCTATTGCATTATTAGGAACCATTGCATTTGGTAATTAATTAATTAATCATTAACTTGCATTTTTTAGCAATAAATTCATCCTTTGCACTTTTTTTTTCCAGGTGGAACTGTTACAACACCTAATCCTAATTATAAAGTTGAGGAATTAATATATCAATTATCCGATTCCAAAGCATCAATCATTGTTGCACATTCGTCAACCTTACCCACTGTTTTAGAAGCTGCAAACAATGTAGATGTAGATATACCAACTTCCAAAATCTTTGTATTAGATAAAGAAGAAGACTCTGAAGATGGCATTAGGACATTCACCAGCCTATACAAGGATGATGATGACTCAGCAATTATTCATTATACAACTGAAGAGAAAGTCAAATCAACAGTTGCTTATTTGTGTTATAGTTCTGGTACAACTGGCAAACGAAAAGGCGTTGAGACCACACATTATAATATGGTTGCTAATCTTGAGCAAATTCATCATTTCGAGGAATTCAATTCTGATCTTGTATTCTTGGCAGCCTTGGTAAGATTAAATTAGGTTACGGTCATTATTACAATTATGATTACAATAATGATTTTTTGTTTTCACAGCCATTCTATCATATTTTTGCATTAAATATGATGATACATCAAGTACTTTATTGCGTAAGTCTTTACTATTTGTTATTTTTTTTTTTTAAAAAAAAAAAAATTTTTCTCAAACTTTTTACATTTAATAGGGAGCAACGGCAATAGTTTTATCAGTTCCTGATTATGATATAAATTTAATTTGTCAAGCAATACAAGATCATAAGATAAATCTTGGATATATAATTCCATCAATTGTGCTTCAATTGGTTAATAACCCAGTTGTTGACAAATATGATTTATCAAGTTTAAAATTTTTTTTAAGTGGTGCTGCTCCATTGTGCAAAAAGTTGAGCAAGAAGTTCAACGACAAATTCGAGAAAATACCTCTTAAGCAAGGTTATGGTCTTACTGAAGCTACACCAATAATTACATTGGCTAGAACTGATGATGTTGTAATTGGTAATATAAAAAATTATGTTTTGAATGATTTCATCAAAAAAAAATAAATAAATAATAATATTTTCTTTTTTAGGATCATCTGGGCTTATTGTAGCAAATGTTGAAATAAAATTTATTGGTGAAAGTGAAATAGGTAATAAGAAGCAATAACAATAATTTAATTTAATTCTTCAAAACTAAATAATTAATTTTTTTGATAGAACTTGGAATTAATGAAAAAGGTGAAATATGCGCTCGTGGTCCAAACATCATGAAGGTACTGATCATATATATAAATGAATATTGTTATTAATTATTTTGATTAAGTCTACAAAAAAATAGGGCTATCTTAATAATGAAAAAGCCACTAAAGAATGTATGGATAAAGATGGGTTTCTTCATACTGGAGATCTTGGTTATATTGATGAAAATGGTAAATTGTTATTTATCATATAATGTTATGTAAAATATTTTCTTTTGTTTTTAAATTGACATGTTTATTATTATTATTGTAAAAAGGGAATGTTTTTTTGGTTGATCGTGTAAAAGAACTTATCAAGTTTAAGGTCTGCAACCTTTCTTTTTTCTTTCTTTACTTTTTATTTTTTCAATAGTTGATTTAAAAAAAATTTCAGGGCACACAAGTTGCACCTGCGGAACTTGAATCAATTCTACTTGAAAATCCTATAATTTCCGAAGCAGCCGTAGTTGGCGTATATTCAGAACAAGACGTAACAGAATTACCAGTTGCCTACGTCGTACTAAAAGATTCGGCTGCTAGTGATCACCAGCAAATTAAAAAATACATTCAAGATTATGTGGCTGAAAAAGTTATTTGTGATAAACGACTACGCGGTGGTGTCTACATTATTGATAAGTTACCTAAAAATGATATTGGAAAAATCTTGAGAAAAGATTTGAGAGAACGGATTAAAAGTGAATGGGTTCGTCCTGATGATCTTTTTAAAGAAACTGTATAAATATATATTTCTATAAATAGCCTGTTATATTGTGTGTAATGTTTATTTGAACACTTTTATTAATATAATAAAAGATTCAATGAATAACAATGTTATTTTTTTGAGTGTGTCGTATACACAAGTTTCATGCTCGGCTTTATTAGTACCATAAGACGACTTGCTTATTTAGAGCAAATGGCGAAAATCCAAAAATTGTAAGTTATTTGCGATACGCCAGCCAAATATCAGGTTACTTTTTAAAGAGCTATGCAAATTGAATTATTTTATAACCAAATCAAGTAAAAGCTATTTTGATTTCTGAAACTTGAAAAATAAATAAATTAACAAAAATATTGTTTTTCTAGATCATATTACTAATATATATATATCGCTATATGGGTTTGAGATAAAAAAACTATTTTTAGTAACAACCTTTAGGAACAGAGTCCAATTTTTTGACTAATTATAATCCTTGTATTATAGATGTTAAATAAAAAAAATTCGAATATTATTTTTGATATCAAAAATGCTACTCCAAGCCGGTTTTCTAACCGATCAAACAGTAACCAATAATTATAAACAATATTTATTCGAGGAATTCAACTTAATACGACTGAATAGGAACAGCATTTACATAGTTTGGCAAAAGAGGATTTGGGAAAGGGTTATCTTGCGATATGGCTAGATGGGTCGAAAGCCCGCGATGAAAATAATTAGCCACGGGAAGGATTCTTTTTGAAGTAAGCAAGGCTTACATATTTCAAGCTCGATTCCAAGCTCGATTCATTATTTCACAACTATATTGATGGTAAGTTTTGGGAAGGGTTGACTCTCTTCTAATTAACAATTGGATTCATTTTATGTCAATGAAATGTTGCATAGGATTTCGTCTGGCTATAATAAAATATTATAGAGTAACCCAGAACACAAGGGTTGAGCGACTACGTGATTCAGGACCTCGGATAATTAGGACTTCAATGTTGAAGCACTTATCAAATAATAATATTAATAGTAAGTAATTTTTTTTTATTAATCATGAAATTATTACAGGCGATGGAGTTCCATATATTCTACAGCACGAAAAAAATTTTCAAAAGTTTATTTGGTGAATTCATCTGATAGCTTAATATTTTTAAAGATAAAATTTCTTAACTGGGGTAAAAAAAAAAGTCAAAATTTCCAATATCTCGATTTTTAATTGCGTCTGTCTCAATTATTTACATTTTTTTTCAATTAATTGCGTCAAAAAATCACCCTATAGTAAATAGTGTAAAAGGATGTATTTACACACTGGTAGAATTTACAACCTTTATAGGTAAAGCCATTAAACCATTATCTATAATAAACAGGAAGCAGGTATTATATTATAAATTTACTTTTACAAAATAAAATCTAATAATTTTATTTTTTTATAATAATAAACACCCAAAATAAATTTATTTTCTATTACTATAACATTCAATCCTCATCAAAAACACTTTTTTTTCAAAAGTGTTTATATCAAATTTTGAGAAAACATATAAATCTATTGCCGACCAAACTATATTCTTAATAGTTGTTTGCCATAATTAATTGTTTATGGAGGAAAAGTGATTATGGCAATAATTATGGATTTTTGATATTCTTTATATGAATGAACATAAAATAACTATATGTTAATATGCCCATTTGACTTAGAGTTCAATAATTACAGAGATGATTTTATCAACTATTGAAGTCAATTACGGCAACTAATTATGGCTTTACATTTATCGAGGGCAATTATGGAAAACAACCATATTCTTAATAAGCACTACCACCGCCACTACCACTACCATGCCTAATGGATTGTTTGAAAAGGTTTGTAATTTTCTTACAACTTCACCATTAAAACATATCACCAATGGATAGGATAGGAAGAATTAAGAAAGATATTAAATGATGATGTTATGAGGTTTCAGGAAATTTTTCTATTGTGCAAAAATTATATAGTAGAGGGAAAAATTTCCTAATCAGCCGGTTTGAATGGTTAATTAGATTAAGGTCTGGTGGTCTTTTTTTGCTATTTAAAAGTGAAAATGGTGAACAAAGTGGATCTCACAGTTATGCTAAGGAATGTATTGGTGAATGTAGGAATCGAAAATAACAGATCGAGTTTTGGAAGCTTTTCACTCTTGTATGGCAAGTTTGATAATCTTAATCTTTTTTGATGCATTCATTCTACATTATAACATGAGTTTATACATAGTAATGTTGTATGGCGAAAGACTAAAACACTTGTCTAATAATGACTAAGCTCTTGTCGAAAAATCAAAATCATTGAACCAAATCTAATTTTTATTAAATTTTTTGATATCAGCTAACAATTACTTGGATTTTGTTTATAACTTCATTATTAACATCTCTTCTATGTAAAGTTTGACTTTTCTTTCTTTTTGATATATTGCTTAAATTGCAATTATCATTGTTATGTTAGCATCATCTTCAATCTCCACATCATTATTCCAATCTTCACTTCACTTTCTAAGTAATGACTGACTGTCATTATTTTCAATCTGTAAACTTCCACTTCCATTTAGAAACACATCTTCCTGATGAAGGTTTTCAAAGTAAAGATTGTCGCTTCCAAATTCAGTGCTATTATTTTCATTTTCTCAAGTCATAATCCAAAATTATTGAAGCTCTATGACAAACCTGCAAGCGTCTGATTCTACCACTATGCAAAGCAATACAACAGTTTCTCCGTCTCCACAACCTCCTGAAATGCTCACATAGATTAAAATCAAATTCTCTAGTTCAAGAACAAGACCAAAATCTTTTTAAAGAACAACTATATATGATTTGCTCAAAGTTAGCGACACCACTTGCAAGTACTGACTTCAAATCAATAGATGAAGGTATTTAAATATTTGGATTATATTAATTAATTTATATTTATTAACTTAAATCATTTGGGTTATAATTTAAACCATTATTTGACTTCAATATCAGGAACTTCCTTGTATTATTATGTTCATCAGAAAATACTGTATGATATCATAATATCGTACGTATATTATATTTTATTATATAACAAAAAAAAACAATTTTTACTTTCGTCACAATTTTTACTTTCATCAACACTTTTTACTTTTGTTAAACTGTCAAAATGGTCATTGGCGAAAAACCACCTTTAGTCAGTACTTTCATCACGTCAATGACTAAAATCAAAAGTTTCGTCGCACACCACTAATTTATAGTAGAAATAGTTGTTAGATTTAGTAGACATTTTTAGGTTTATATTTCTTGCAGAAAATAAAATTTAATATATTATATTTAACTTTTGCCATAGATTTTGATAGAAAAATATCAATATTTATCAAGTATTGATGGAATTTTGGGTTTGTATCTTGAAGTTCCATAGCTAAATTTGCTGCTTTTATTAATGCCATTTGATTTAAGACTAATATCTCCAATAGAAAATTAAGAAAGAATATTGATATGGCTGTTCAAGTTCTGTTTCCTGTTCCTTGTTATAACGGTAAAAACTAATTTTACAATAAATTAGAATCGATTTCCAAAAAAAACCTCGTTTATGAGTAAGATTAGAAATAACTTTTGCTAATAACATCATCATTGTCAACAACAACAAGAAATGTTCATTCAGTTCAAAAAGTAGTTTCTACTAATAATGATGAACAACAACAACAAAGTGTTATCTGGCTCAAAAGGAAGCTTCTTCTACTAATAATTTACATCAATATCAATATCATCATCAATACTTTTTCTAATATCGATTAACATCAATATTATCAACATCTTCATTATTTATACCAATTATCAATAGCGTGTGTGAACTTTGTAACAAGGATTCCATCATATGAATCAGTACAAAAAATAAAATTTATGGAACCAGGAAATTTTTCTGCTTGATTTCCATTACCTAATAATAATAAGTATCATAATCCTAGTTAGATGTTAGAGCTGGTTTTGTTTTCAAGAACTGCTTTTAATCACAAAATCAGAACCGGTTTTAACCGGGTACCTGGTTATTTGAATAGAATCAGAATTTACTATTTATTATTATTACATTACAACTGGTTGCAACCGGTTTAACTCGATTTTATCGAACTGGTTCCAACAAGAAATTCAAATCTTAACTCGTAATAATACAAATATTAAATAATTCCGCACAATAATTTATACAAAATAAACGAAAAAATTCCCAAGCTCAACATAGCAATTCATAATTCCAACACTCCCAATAATGGAGTTACTTAAAAACTTTTTGATGAATTCTTTATTAATGAATATAAACAATACGATGTTGGCGAGTATTCTGAAGAAAGCTATGGATGTCCAACTTGTGATCCGCCAATTCTTATAAAGAACAAGAAGCAAAAGGATGTGTATAATATTGACGAATGAACGATTTAATATGAGTGAATTGCTAAATTAAGATCATAAATATTATTATTTATTTATATTAAGTTATTACCAAATATAAATTTTTTTTAAAACTTATAATTTGTTTATAATGATACAATCAATTTCTTCAACTTTATTATAAATAGTAACAGTAAAGGATCCCGTTACTATCTTACAACACTATAATACTATTCCAAAATAAGAATGATTACGTCAAAATAATTCCGAAATGAATTTAAAATAAATTGATATTTGGTATTCGTAAAATAATAATAGGAAAATAAATTTTTTTTTATTAATTGTGAACATTGTGAAACAGTGAATGCAAATATTTGTTATGAAAGAATTTCTTGGAAAAAAGTGACCCAATCATCAACTCTTTTTTCGATATCACTGTTTTTAAATATTAAAGCATCAATGTTTTTTGTCTAGATATGGGTTCAAGCTTTGTGAATAGATATACTAAAAAATCAATAATTTCTGGGCTTTGATGACTTTGTCAAAAGATGAAAACATAGTGTAAATATGTTTGTATTTAGTAATCCTAATTCATCCAATCAACCTTTATAATTTTTTAGAGTTTTTGTTTTTATTCTTAATTAAATATTCACACGAGCTTAAGCTAAAAATTCATGATATGAGCTGGCTAAGAAAGCTTTAAACGGTTTAGCCGGCTAAGCCCGCCGGTATTATTATTACTACTATTATTATTATTATCATTATTATCATAATTACTACGATTATTTGCTATTGTTATTACTTACTATTGTTATTATTATATTTCCTAATTCGCCGTTATTATTGCTTTTGCCTCCTTTATTATTATCTTTTATCCAGCTACGAGTATTGTAATTTTCTGAGGGAAAATATATGTTTTTTTTTTGTCATTCTAAGTAATACAGATAGACCCATCTCAACTAAGTGTTTATCTATACCACTGAATTCTGCACCAAAATTCCAGACGTAAAAATGAGTGTTTTTATCTATATACATAATTAATATAGCCGCTAAGGTTTTTCTACGGCTGACGTTACTACTAAGAACAGTATTAGTATTTTTTATTATATACCAAAATTTTCGAAAAATTGTGTCCGATAGTAATAATAATAGGAAGTGTATAGATATGACAGATAAATCTGCAATTTATATATTGATATATTGTATCGCTAATTACTTGTTGCAAATTTATAATTGCTTATTTCAATCTTATCAAAAAAATATAGTCAAAAAAGGAAGATACAATCATTATATTAGAATCAGAAAGAATATCTACCTTGAAAATAGTGTTATAAGCCTTATTATTAATTAATAAGAAGATGTTGGTTAATCTAAAAAAAAATATAACTCAAAGAGTGAGATTGCGTAAAGAACAATTTTCTTTGTTTGCATGCTTTATTGATAAGCTATAATAGAATTAAATCAAGTTAGTGTTATAACGGCTATTGTATTAATCTAATTTTATGTTCATTATAATGATCAAACACGACACAGCCATCATCCACTCGCCTTTTAAATTTTCACCATCATCCTCACTTTCTTATTCACTATCCTCGCCTTTAAACTTTTCATTCACACCTCCTGGCTCTTCTTCATTTTGGTTTTTTGTCTCTTCGTTCGTCTGCTTTCAATTAATTCATACATACCACTTAATTTCCTCTTGTCGCATTTATCACATAGTGACAATTGAAAGTAAAATCTTTCTAGAAATCGCGTGAAAATTGAGGCACAGAGTTTTATAGAAATATAATATGAATAGGATTTTCGATACACATGCAGATTAATCAAGTACAAAAATATGATTTAAAACTCTATTTTTATTTTTTATTGGTGATATTTGCATTATTTACAACAGTGAAAAAAAATTTTTTATCTTTGCACTCAATAAATACGTGTAACGTAGATCATATAAACAATTTGACTTCATTGAGAATCATTTCTATACTTGATGTTTTCCGCTGCAGACCCGTCAATATTAATATTAATATGCATCCGTAAACTTCCAAGTCCTGCATATTCTAATAACACTATATAAAACCATGCATGTGAAAAAGATGGAATACAAAAAGTTCTCGAGCTGAAACTTTTTGCCAATGAAATAAAATCAAGTGTCCACTGCCACCTGGCGCGTGCATAAACTATTATAAATAGAATATACATTTTCCATTTAAAGGAATTCAAGTTAGAGATGTCACGTAAAAAGCGGAAATGGTGAAGATCTTACACATTTTTCTATATTGGGGTTATCAATTTAAATAGCAAAACCGGCTGCCAAAAATCCATTCAAGATTATATGGCTGAAAAAGGTTACTGTTGCGCGGTGTTATCTACATTATTGATAAGATACCTAAAAGTGCTTCCGGCAAAATTTTGAGAATTTAGATTTTTGATATTTTATTTATTATATTTTTTATTATTTTATTATTTTTTATTTTGATATTTTATTATTTTGATATTTTTTATATTACTGTAAGTAATAAAATAAATATATTGCATATATTACACATGAAAATTATATTATGCTAAAAATAAATCTTTGCACTCGACCTAATTTTGGCTTTGGGTGGCCCAGAGAGTTACTTCTGTTGAAAAGGCCCCCAAAGGTTTATCTCAAACAGGGCTGGCCGCGTAACTCGAATGAGCACTTGGCTAAAATATATGTTAAGTCAAGGCAATTATTAATTTATATATAATAGTTATAGTTATACATGAAGTCGAAATGTTTCGACTTGAGGTAACTACATAGTAAAAATCAGTTTCGACCCTATTTCGACCAGATCTGCAAATGATCGAAATAGCTTCGACTTCATGTATAGTTATAGTACTTGTATTTTAATAATTTTAATTGGTGTACTAATCTTCTAATATTAATTTTTTGTTGTAGTATTCTAATTGTTAAAATTATAATAATGATATTAATATTGATATTAAAATTAATAATAATATTATTATAATAGTAATACTAAATAACAGATAATTTAACAATTATATTAATAATTACCATTAAAATTGCCAATGATTTTGACATAATTGTGATTAACAGGTTTTGGGAGGTCTTTTGGAAGTTCTAAAAATCTACTGGTATAAATAGCATTTTTGTGGTGAACACTTGTAATTGTTGAAGGGTCAAATTTTATTTTATCCATTTCATCAATTTGTCTTCTCCTTGATCTTATTTCATCAACCTGATCTCGTGAATAATGATCATGTTTTTCAGCCGAAATTACATAATCATTAAATGAAGGTTTCCAAGAATCTAAAATATCCCCAATTTCCTTTATAGTTGGTCGTTTTTTCGGATTAGCATCCATGCAATTGTATGCTAATCTTATGAAAAAATCGGGGGTGTTGTTTGAAAATCTTGGCCTTAACCCCTGACAAACCTGAACCGCAAGGGTTCTATCGTGTGGGATATCACTGAATGGTTGCTGACCTGTTGATATCACTGACATCAACACCCCAAAACTATAGATGTCAGATGCCATTGTATGCGTTTCACCTCTTAGAACTTCAGGTGCAATATATGGCATTACCCCGTATATATTATTTGTATTTGATAATGATGACGATGTTGTTCTTTGTTTGACTAGAGTTGTCAACATTAAATCTGTAATATGTGTAGGCATAAATTGTTGTTTTTTTTTGTGAAATATGTTGCCACTGTGAAGATTACAGTGAATGAGATTTTGTTGATGGATTTTTTGTAAAGAACCTTTAATATAATTAAGAATTTTTATTTTTTCCAACCATGGTATTTTTTTAAAATCAACAGATAAATAATCATAAAGATTTCCATCGCGTTTATACTCCATTATTATTATAAGTTCTTTTTCACGTGGATCAATTGTTAATCCATATATTTGATTAAATTTTTTATAATTTTTGAGCTATAACATTTATACATGTATATATTCGTTTTAGCAATATATTTTTGTAAAAACAAAAATCTCAAGAAAATAAATAAGATAAAGTAACTTGCCTGATTTAAAGCTTCCTCGGAAATCTTTTGAGAGCCATGTAACTGTTTTAATGCAACAGTACAATCTTTATTGTGCCTTATGTCGTTCTTAGGATGTATATAATTTTCACCCTTTATCCAAGTAGCTTTGTATATGGTTGTAAAACCCCCTTCGCCTATCTTTTCAATATATTTTAATTGTTCATGAGGAATTTGTAAATCATTAATATCACATCTTTTTGCTTCTTCAAGTCGCATGCTTTTCTCGTTACCACAAGCTGGTTCTTTACAAGAATTCGGTGGATCAAAAATTCTTTTAATTAATTCTATAAATCTTGAAGAAACAAAACCAATATACGTCAAAAACATTTTTTTTTTTTTTAAAAAAAGCCCCAAATGATATCAGCTCTTATATATAGGAAAAAAAAGAAAATATTAAAACTTGGTGAAACGTGAACGCTAGTTATTAATTCCGTCTTTATTTACGTTACATTTTTTTCTGTTATTATATATTATTTAGATTTTTATTTTTTATTTTCCGCGTGAAAATAAATATATATATATTTATTATTATTAATATTAATTTATTATTATAATAAAACTGTTATCGGATAAGAAATTGTATCAATTTATATAAACAAATTATAAATTTAATAAATAAATATTTAATGTTTTTTTATAATCTTAATTTAGCAATTCATCCGTATCTCACGTATCTAAACGTACTTGTGAGAATTTATAAATATAAAAAGATACTTATAAATATAAAGAGATATTATATAAAGATAATTGTTAAAACTGATATTTTATTACAATATCAAGTTTAAAATTGATAATGATGGAATTACCATTTGTATTACTAATTCTACCCTTCTTAACAGGTTCATGTAAGGTCTCCTGGAAGTTCTAAAAGTCTGCTAGTATAAACAGCATTTGGGTGAACAATTGTTGAAGGGTCAAATTCCATTCTATCCATTTCATCAATTTCTCTTCTCCTTGATTTTATTTCATCAATCTGATCTTGTGTATAATGATCATGTTTTTCAGCAGAAATTACAAAATCATTAAATGAGAGTTTCCAAGAAACCAAAATCTCTGCAATTTTTTCTGCAGTTGGTCGTCTTTCTGGATCACCGTCCATGCAACTGCATGCTAACTCTTTGTAAAAACTAGGTGTGTTACTGGAAAATCTTGGCCTTAACCCTTGAAAAATCTCGAGCATAAGACTTATTCCATGTGAGACATTACTGAATGGTCGCTGACCTGTTGATATTTCTGCCATCAACACCCCAAAACTATAGATGTCTGATGCCATTGTATATGGTCTTCGATTCATGACTTCAGGCGCAATATAAGGTATTACCCCAACCATATTACTATTTGATGATTTTTGATCAACCGGACATGATAACCCTAAGTCTGCAATGAATGTAGTAATAAAATGACATTGTTTTTGGTGAAGAATATTACCACTGTGAAGATCACGATGAACGATGTTTTTTGCATGAATTGTTTTTAACCCTTTGATAATACTCTCGAGAATCTTTATTTTATCTTTCCACCTTAAAATTCTAAATTCTCTTGATAAATAGTCCCGAAGGCTTCCTTCTTCTTTATAATCCATTACGAAAATATATTGCATTGTGTGTGGATCTCTTGTTATTCCATAAATATGAATTATACATTTTTCTTGATGAAATATAACATAATTTTTAAACTAGAAAATAAAGTAAAATCATTTTAATAATTAATTTGGCTAGTAAATTTTTTTAAAAAAATTGACTTTACCTCTTTTAGAAATTCTTTCGAAATTTCTGGAGAATGGAATCTTTTTAATGCAACAATCATGTCGTTTGCACATCGTTTTTTATTTTCGTCTATGGATTTTCTACCATTTTTCCAAGTAGCTTTGTATATAATTGCATTGCCACCACTACCTATAATTACACTGTTTATCAAATCCTTATAAGAAATCCATTCAAGATAATTATAATTATTGTATCCCTTTGCTTTGAGTTGTGTGCTCTTTATTATTTCGTCTATCGCTTCATTATCGCTAGTCCATCCTTCAGTTAATAGAATCGGGTCACATCTTTGGCACCATTCATAATTAGCATAACATCCCATACACCTTTGGCATGTGCCATATTTTGCTTCATCCTTTACTTCTGATTGTTTGTCAAAATTTGCTTCATTAGAGTCATCAAAGCTGTAAGAGCCGTTATGATATCTGCGTCTATTCGAATTGTCTTCCATATGTTTTTAAGAATTTTTTTTCTTCTGAGTTTAAACAAATTTTTAAAATCGGAAAAAATTTTTATTAATATTTTACAAAATGAAATTGACAAGTTTAGGTAGATATATATAAACAAGAATATTAAAATATCGGTCTTACAAACATTTTGTAAAAAGAATTGATAAACTTATTATACGCAAATAATTTTCAATAATGTGACTTTTTCGCAAACAATAATAATAAATCTTAATATTAATATATATAAATAAATCCAATTGCTTTTCAATTCTGTCCGTACTGATACACTATTACTATTCTTTTTTGTTTATACAGAATTTGTGATGGGCGTCGAGTACTTAATATGTACATAAATTTAGTACAGAGGCGCAGATGTACAAAACCTGTATATACTCGAATAAATCTTGATTGTGTTTATTTCACATATTCCTTTAAAATATTTACAATATTAATTAATTAACTCCCACTAATTAATTTTAAAAAAATATAATATAATATAATATAATCATTAATTGTTGTTTATATTAACTGCTTTCTCACTATTTTTGTTTAATCTTTTGTGCTTTAGTCTCTTTCTTTTTCCAATATGGTATGCCAAATTGCCAAATTGCATAAATCACTAATGAACTTATTAAAATTGTCCAAAATATTATTACACTCGTTGGAGCTGGATTTGGGAATTCGCCTCTACCAAATTTAAAACATATGACTGATTCTGTCATTATATTTGCTATAGTCAACCATGCTTGTGGACCAAGTCTTTTACAATCTCTAAAGTGTTCGTATGGGAAATAAAATAAAATAAAATGTTTGAGTAAAATTTCAAAAGAAACTCAATAAAAAAATTTCACTTACTTGTCTGTTAAATATTGATAAGCTTCTCTTGTACCAGGAATTGCACAAAAGAAAAGTAATATAAATCTATATGCATTTAATGGATGTTCTGGTGGTATCCATAATAAATATTTCAAATAGAAAGCGTTCAAATCAGTTTGTAAAAACTAATTTGAAAATTTTAAGTTAAATTAATAAATTATAAAAATTAAATGCCATTTTTAAAATAAAAAGAGAAGTTCATTAGATATACCAAAAATAAAAGTCCAATGACGGCTAAATAATTTTTAAAACTTTTTGTTGTTCCCCATTCGAATTTTGTCCAATGATGCGGTGTGAACTGTTGGACTGTACGTTTCATTTTCCCTTTTAATGACGGAATTTGTTTAATACCTCTCCACGAATAACCCTTCATCTCAAAATATTCACATGTTTTCATTCCAAGATATAAACCAGCCCAATTGCATATTATAACATCCAAAATCCACTTTAATAAATTAAAGTTGTAATATAAGAATAAATTTATATATATAATATCCTAGAAACGTATGATAATCTCATATATGCTATGGCATATATAAAAATAATATGTAACTTACATGATCCCACCAACATTCTGCAAAATTATTTAATTGATGTTGTAACGAATATTCCATCACCTCAAACATAACGGACAATATCCAACAAAACCAATAATCACGAAGCACCAATGCCTTGGCAAACCATCCAGATGCATGATAAACAACGAAAATATCCATCTGATCCTAATAAATCAACAAAACAAAAAATATGTGAATTTTATTAATTTAAGATCTTATGATTATTAAACCCATCGAACATATATATTTACTTTGATATTTTCAATTGTTAATTCACAGTTGTCAGCATATGAACGTTCAGGAAGTGGTCTGCCTAAAGATGGATCTATTGTTGCAAAAATGTATCTTGCGTCACGTTTATTCTATTAATATTATGATATATAAATTTTGGATTATCTAGCTAATAACGATAAATTATTAAAAATAAAATTGAAAATGATTAATTACTTGGAATAGAAGAAACACTAAAAACATTTGATATAAAACTCCTAATCCCAATACAATTCTCCATATTACTGGATGTGGTCTAATGAATGGCCCATCTCTAAATTGTAGCATTGCAAAAAGCAAAAAAAATCCAACTCCCGCCATGGCTCCACTATTATAAAAGCACAAATATGAATATTAACTACTTAATATTTACAAGTAAATTTTTTTAACTTACAATTTAATATTAATTGAGGTATCAATCATTTCTGGTTTCATAGCAACATAAAGTAGTCCAATCAACATTGCTGACAGTACTGATAAAGTTCTTGGACGATCTATGAGCATAAACATATTTATAAAATCAATAAGTTTGGGATAACATTTCTTAAAAAAAAAGAAGATTTCTTATGAAGCATACAAAAGAATTCAACCGTAGGATCATTTTCTGTATATGCAGCTGGTTGAACTGGTATAGATCTAGCATCAAAAGGATCTATTATTGCTTCTTTATTATTTATAATACTACCACTAGCAATGCTGCTACGACGACTACTGTTGCTGCTGTTGCTATTACTACTATTGTTGCTAATGGTAGACTGCAGTGTTGGGTCCATGAAAGATGCCATAATTTTGAATTTTTTTTTAAAATTGAAAAAAAATTTATTATTTATGTGTCAAGCATGATATACACATGTACGATGTAACATTGACGTAATAGCACTGACCATCTTAATATTAATAGTAAACTAACCCAAATTAACAATATATAATAATAAAATATTTCTAATTTAATTTATAAAAACAATATGGAATCTTTTATTTCTTCCCCTTTTTTTAATAATGTTATTAAAAAATTTCCAGCTATTTCTAGTTTTCCCACACCATTTCAACATTTGAATGTTAATTACGCTTTACCATTAGCTTTTACAGGATTTGCTTTAATTTTGACTAGTTTACTGTTCAATATTTATAAAAAAATTGAAAAGGGCAAGTTTCAAGACAATAACAAAATTATAAAGTTTCCTATATTTTTTTTTTTTGTTATTATTATAAATAAATATATTTATCCTAAATATCATAATCATTATTACAACTGCCATTATCATCAATCCAAAATGGTCTTACAGATGATAATGAACCATCTAACATCATTCAGAAGCATACACAATTTGTAAACATCAGGAATAAACGAATTCGGATCGTTCACATTATACATGAACTTGGTGCAAAAGTGCCATTAATTTTATTTATTCACGGATTAGGTGGCCAGGTTGCTTATTCTCGTTGATTATAATATATGATTAACAATTGATCATAATGATTTACCACTTAATTACCCTTCTTTGTTCTTTTATTATTGTATTCTATAAAAAAAGGCAGCACAATGGGAATATCAAATTGAATATTTCTCATCGACTGCAAATGTTTTAGCTATTGATTTGGTTGGATGTGGGAAAAGTGAAGTATCAAGAAGGTAAAAAAAGATATATACTCGTAATAATAAATATTTTATACATCATTTATAACATTATTAATAATAATAATAACAATACTAAAGGCCAGAAGATTATACTACGGAATCATTAGTGGAAGATCTAATAGAATTACTAAGACGTTATCCAAGTGATAATACGGTATTGATTTGTCATTCTTATGGTTGTTGCTTGGGTACTTTGTTGTACCAACGTGTAAAACAATCTATAAAAGCTTTGACACTTATTTCGGTAAAAGCTCAAACAACCGAAAAAGATCTGGAACGACAGCGAAGAATTCAATCAATACCTGATATTATATTTAATATTTTACGTATGTTGGATCGTCGAGGTGGGATTCATTCTACAAGTGTTAATCGCATGCTAAGCAAAACTGCAAATGATATGATTAGATCAAAGCAACTTCTATGGAATAAACAATCAAAAACTCAAGTTTTTAAATGTATGTTAAAGGGAGCGAAATGGTTTACCAGAGAAAATATAGATGCCATCGAATGTCCTTTATTACTCATTTCTGGTCAAGCGGTTAGTTACAATCTAATAAATAAATTTTGTAATGGTTATCAAACTTATTTAATTTTTTTTTCAAGGATGAAGTTACACCACCTAGCGAAATGGCACTTATACATGAATGGAATAATAAAGTAGGCGCATCACCACAGCCTGTTATCATTCAAGAATCAGGTCATGTTCCAATGTTGGAAAAACCGGAATTGTTAAATCGTATAATTAATCAGTTCCTTATAAATGAATGCAGACTTGCAACATTGGATCCAGCATGGCAAATAATCTACGAAACCAAAGACGAAAATAAATGGTCAATGAAAAATTATGAAAAGGTTTGATATCATATCATCATCATTCATCTTGTTATTATGATATATATTTAAAAATTATATATATTTAGTGGAAACAAACACCTACTATATCAGAAATTACTGTCAATAACACAGGTTTTAGAGCAATGAAAGTATGTATCTGATAATTGTTCCTCATTACTCATTATTATTTAACATATACATGAAAAATTAATCACCTTTTTATAAAAAAGGTTATGCGTCAGAATGATGAAGAACATTGTCCGACGGCTTTTATTGCACGGCACCCGGAAATAGGATTGTAATCTATCAAATCAATTCAACAATCTATAAATCCGTATTCAAACTTTCTTTGAACTTGGTTTTATTTCTTTTCACTTTATTGGAAAAAAATGAGATATTAATTTAATATATTGTTATTGTTATTATTAATTCAACATGCAGTATTTTAGATATAACAAAAGATTCACCACCATATCGAACAAGTGACTTTGACAATTCTCATATCACTTACATAAAATTCAGTACAGCTAGTAAAATTCCACCTTCACGTGATGAGGTTAGAAAATTTATTCAAATAGCAAAAGAAGCTTGGAATAAGAAACCAGATAAACAAATTGTTGTGCATTGTCACTATGGGTTTGTAATTTTTTTTACAGAGTAGAATTATATTCTATTGGAACTGGTTTTTATTTTTTATGATTAACATATCTATGTGTATGCATGTGTGCATGTGCGTGTAGGTTTAATCGAACAGGATTCATGATCTGTTCTTATTTAATCGAAGAATTACATTTAACAGTTGCGGACGCTATCAAATATTTTGAAGAAGCAAGAAAACCAACTGGTATCAGGTAAGTTTGTGTGTATATATTGTCTTTGAAGTTTTGTTAATTATCTGGCTGGCTGATTGATTGTATGTTATTATTTTAGACATCGTCATTTCAAGGATGAATTATTTCTAAGATATGAACCACCTCTTCGAATGAATCCACATGTGCAATTTAACAATATAATTAATCACAATCAGCATAACCTGAATAAATATATAATTCAACATCATAATCTTACTAAAGATATATCTTCTAATAATATATCAGCACCGATTATCTTTCCTTCCTCATCTAACAGATCATCATCAAATAGCAACAATAATAATAACGGCGAGAATGGTAATAAATTGTCTTCGCCAATTGGTATATAATTATAAAAATATATAGCAGGCCTATATATATACATATTAATAAAGAAAGGTTCCATCACAAATTCAGAACAATTGATTGTGCAAATTTTATAATTTGGATTTTGTATACATTATTGGATATCATTAATTTTTTGATCATTTACTGATCTCATAAACTTGACTGGATTAATTTTACGGTTTTTAACTGAACATTTTTTTTATTTTTACTAATTCCTTTCTGGATTTAATTAAATTCTTTTATTAGTTATATTTTTATTAGTTATTATTTTATTATGAATTTGTAAATTTATATTAATATGTACAAATAATAAATGAAGCTTATTATAGCAAATATCGTTATAATAAACATAAATAAAACCTTGAACTCTTCTGATTGATTTCATTCAACAATTAATAAACTCAATTCTTTATTAAGTTCAAAAATCAGAGTTGTTGTAAAATTACATTTCATGACGAATAATTTTAGTAATATTTATAGTTGTCCTTGTTATAATTTTATTTGAACAAATAATAAAAAACAAAATTTTATTATTTTTTCATTATCTCATTTTCTTTTTTTCTCGCCTACTCAATAATAAAAATTAGAATAAGAATTGACACTAATATTTTTTTTGAAAAAAAATATATATTAAAATAAAATGATCATGATTATGATTATAATAAATAAAAAGTATTAATAATTAAATATGTGCATATAAATATTTTTTGGGGTGATTTTGTAAAATAAAAAGTCCTTTCTAAAAATAATTAACTTAATTAAATTTAAATTTTTCTTGCAATTATGAAAAATCTATGACTTTCTACAGAAAGGTAACCTTCATTCTGAATTTTATGATGTAAATTTATCAATTGTTCAGAATACTTTTCCACTGAAAAATCCTCAATTTGCCATGGAATAGCTCTTAAATAGTAAACAATTGCACCAACATCATAAAATTTTGTCTCTATAAAAGCCTCTTGTTTCTCAAGTATGGTGAATCCCGCCTTGACCATTTCACTACAAGCTTGTTCTAAATGCCATTCACGATAACCAAGATGTTCCGGTGCACCTAATAATTTATTTATTTCTATATTATCCCTTTCTCCAACTTGTTGTGTCACAAATATGCCATTTTGTTTAAGGAGCCTATGTACTTCATAGATAATATATGGTTCATGTCTATTAATTATTAAATCAAACCTTGCATCATTAATTGGTAATCTAACGTCATAATCGGTAATTGCTAAATGTTATTTGTATATATATAAATGAATGAATTAAATTAATTAATTAACTGATTAAATCGATAAAAAGAATAATAGATTTCAATCATTTGTATCATTTTGTTCCTTTGTTTTTTTATTATTAACGATTAATAATTGTAATAAGTTAATATTGATTGAACTATTATTGTCATATCATTAATTACCTGTAACTGTTACTCCTAAAGGTTTTAAACGTTTTCTTGCAATATCAATATTGGGAGCCCAACCTTCTGTTGCACATGTATCTGGAGGTAAAGGACTCAAAGAAGCAAGAAATTCACCACTACCAGTTCCCATATCTAAAAGCCCTTTATGATGTGGTAACAAACTTCTCACGGTATTTTCATAATTCCAACCTAAAGATCCGGAATTTTCTTCCATGCGACCTTTAAGATATGAAAAGTCCCAGCCTGTAAAAGGCTTTTTAAATTCTGTTGTAAGATGAAGAATTAAATTCTCATTAGAACCCTCTTCATCGTCATGTTGTGAAATTAAATCCATTGTTGTTTTCGTTGTTGCGATTGTTGCTGCGTTAGTGGGAAAAGTTCATGCAGAATAAAATGAAGAAAATTTTCTGATTGTTTTTGAAATAATAAGCATGCATATATATATGGGAAATAAAATAGTTTTATAAAGTGACGCGCTATTTATCTGCTTTTTTATGCTTATTTATAATAGATACAAACTAATAAATAACAAACAAGAATTTAATATTGTTACATTTTTTTTAATAATAATTATAAAAAAGGTAAAAAACAATTTTTCTTAAAAATGAAAGTATACACGTGATCAAGAAAAACAAAAAACATCCATTCATAAGAAAAGTAAACACACATTAACAAGTTACACATGCATGTATGCATATTTGTACTTTCAATCATTCTTCACAAATATCATCAGAACCACCATCTAGAGTTGTCTCATGATATAGTTTCTCTTCAATAAATCCTATATAATGAAGACTTTTTATGACATATAACAAAGTTATTAACTTATTAATTACCAATCTCAATCAATCAGTCAATAAAATTATTAGCAAATTACCCCCCAAAACCTCCAATAAAATAAATATCTTGAACTTTAAATCGATAGAAATGAAATGAATGAACTTTGCCAGGAAGCCTAATAATTGCCATAATCATTTAAGAAGTTAATGAATTGATAATGTTCTTGATCATCATCACCATCATTAGCATGAAAAGAAAAGACATCCTTACCAATAACGAGCTTTTGGATGTTTCTCTAGATAACAATTCTTAACATCATTCTCCTAATTAATTTAAATATTAGAACCTTTTCTCCCAATAATAATAATAAATATAATAATATTAATTAATTAATTAATTAATTAATTAATTAATCAATTCTTGTTATATTTACCTCACTCTCGTTAACCCTTGTTATTTTACCAAATAAATTTAATCTTGGTTCAGCGAAAGGAAAAAATGATTTCTTGCAACTTAATTTACGAATCGACAGAGAAGCTCTCAGTCCATCATCAAAAGCATTGCGAACATTTAGCTTTTTCCATACATACAATAAATTCATGGTTTAGTATATTTGTAATTTTTCAATCATCCCTTCCCCCCTCCTTTCTTTTACCTGCACATGACTCAAAAGTAATAATGGATCTCCAGTGGATGGACAATCATCTGATAAATATTCAAGAAGTCCAAGTGGATATCCTTAAAATTTTATTATTATTATTATTATTATTATTATTATTATTATTATTTAAGAATAAATATATACATGATAATTTCACCTTTCATATGATCTTCATTTTCGCTCATAATAGTAACAAGAGTTCCATATCCTGTTTCATTTACCAAATTTCTTGCTATTCTCGCTGCGTCCTCTTTAGTTTCTGTAATTCCTCTTGTTTCAACATTGATAATTATTTTTTCGCAACTAATTATTATTAATATCAATAACAAATTATTAATGGAAAAATATTTCATCTTTAATAGATTTATTTATTACAAGTCAACTTTCTTTTGTCACACACCAATAAAGTTTTTTTATGCGAATAAAATTAATTATCAAGTAGGTCCTATGTAATCACTGGCAGAAATAGACAAACTTATTTTTGCAACTTGATATTATAATCATGTGATACAATCAGTTTATCATTTAATAATAATATATTTGAATTTTTTATTTCTGCCTGATAATTCATTTATCAGGTATCGGTAGATAACTCCTACTACTACACTTCCTATAGTCAATATTCTTTTTTTCACGTGCCCTTCAGGCACATGAAGAACATATTGATATTTATATAATATCAAAAAAATGGAGTTTCTACCAGTAGAAAAAAAATGAAGCAAACATCATTTCATACTCCAATGAAGATGTAATTTTTACGAACCAGGTATTTTGCTTCAAAATGGTGCGTGATCTATATTATCGTGATGAATTTGTGAATGTGAAGATAAATGATTTTTTATCTTTTTATTTATAATAATGTTTATTATACAGTATATAGAAGTTTTATCAATCCGAAGAGGAGGATGATATCAAAAGTAATCCCATTGTGTTCACTTTGCCTGGTTTTGTTACAATATGCCTATATAAATAATACTTACATGCTGGTTATTATAAAGAAATAAAAATGTATTTATTTAATCGGATGATGTTTTAATAAAAATTTATTTAGATGATGTTTTAATAAAATATATTTTGTGAGTTAATTTATAATAAATATAATAAAACCTTTATAAAATTTAGCTAAATATTAATATTAAAGTTTACACAGAGTCCTACTATATATTTTCAAAAAGTTATTTTTTGTGCAAGAAAGAATACCTTTTTCACACTAAGGAAAATATTAATATTAAGTTAGGGATGTTGTATGTGAAATTGAAACTGTGAAATCAAAATTTATAATTAAAATTTTGGGATGGAGTGTTTGGATATAAAATTCTAATTGGTTAATTTGAATTTCACGTATGTGAATTGCAAGTTCACATAGATTTCATTTTCACGCACAACAGGGATAAAGGAAACATGAGATTGACTTGATATAAGGATCATATTTTCACCGGTAAAAAAGGCACTCATAAGAAGAATGACATTTATTTATTTATAATTGTAATTATAAAATTATTTGATCCATTGATTATTAGCTTTATGCCAACCCTCAATTGATTTATCAGGATATTCATCAAATAAGTCAGCTTCACTTGAATCAGGAACTTCAGCCCAATCAGCTTTATCTTTTAACATTATGCAAACTAATCTTTTGGGTTTTGGCAGTGGTGTGTCAATTGCAGATGCAAACGGATAGCACTGTGTGAATGATTTTTTTTAAAAAAAATAAATTGTTTATATTATAAATGTACGTGAGTATTTAACTACAAAATAAATAAATAAATAACTAACCCATTCAGAATATTTTGGATCATAGGCCCATAAAAATGCACCACATTCTTTACAAAATGATCTTCTATTTCCACTATTTAAGCAAAATAAAATCTAAATAAAATCTAAATTTATTATTATTAATATTATTGTGATTATGATTATGATTTACCATTCCTCTTGTTGTTTTTTAGGTAAAGATTTATCCTTAATTCCACGATAACTTCTACAAAAGAAAACAATATTTATTAGTTATCATAAATAATTATTCAATACATACTAATATGTCTTACTTGACATTTTCCATTCCGTCAACTTCAAGTGTACCATTCTAAAACAAAAAAAAACCATTATAAATTTATCAAAAAAAAAGAAATCATGATCTAAATTAACTAATTAATTACCAATCCCATAATATTAGTACTATATCCACCTCCACCATCAAGTTTACGGCATATGGAACTTGAAGATATGATTATTTTTAGGTGGTAAGCAAACATATTAATATATTCAAAAATTCAAACCTTTATTAATATTACCAATAACATCTCATATATGGTACAGGTGTATTGGACTTTACTTTGAATTTAACTTTTTCACAATGACAAGAGCCTTGAAGTTCCATTTCAAAAAATAAAAAAAATTTGTAAAGAATGATTATTATTTATTTTATATATATTAATATTTTCTCACGCATTATTAATATTAATGAATAATATAAAAAAAAAAAAAAAAGCTACGACACCCAGTATTCCCATGTTGTCCCCAACCATAGTACTGACTGGGCCATTAGTGGTTTAACTTCGGAGATCGGACGGGTTCCGGTGCTTTTCACTATGTATGGCCGTAGCTGATGATAATGTTGAAATTATTTTATTTAAAGGTTATTTTAAAAAAAATTTTTTTGATAACTATACATGAAGTCGAAATTAAAACCCCAAAGCCGAAATGTTTCGACTTGAAGCAACTACATAGTAAAAATCAGTTTCGACTTTATTTCGACCCTATATTTCGACCAGATCCGCAAATGGTCGAAATAGTTTCGACTTCATGTATAATGATAACACCTCTCTAATTTGTAAATCTTATTAAACAAACAATGATAGCTGCTGCTGGTGGTAGTGGTAATCAAAAGTAATCATAAAGTTAGATTATATATATATATATATGACTATCAACATTTCTTTTGCAGTTCGAAATCAAAAATTACACAAATAAAAATTGGGTGACGAATTATGCCTTTCCATTCTTTGAGATTAAGATTTATTGTAAATCTATGTTATATATTTATATACAGTTCACTCTCTCTATAACGAACCCTCCGTCCCTATATGTAATTTCTCTGCTTTTGGTCGTTATAGAGAGAGTTTATTAAGATGGTCGTTATAGAGAAAGAATTTAATTATAAAAAATTGAAACGGGGACAAAAGGGAAGTTCGTTATAGAGAAAATTTACTTAGTGGTCGTTATAGAGAGAGTAGACTGTATGAATATCTTTTTAAAAATCTTTGTACCTACCTGCTTTGACTTGTATTAAAAATTTAAAAATTTCCTTAATTACATACATTAGCCAGAATATCCAGAACATTTGCATTTAGTTCTGTTGTATGTGAATTTGAAACTATGTGAAATAATTAAAATTTTGAGGTGGAGTGTTTGGATATGAAATTCTGATTGGCAAATTCACATAAATTTCATTTTCACGCACAACAGTTTAAACAATGGAAAGATCAAATTTCCTTTTTTGGAAACCTATAATTAAATATGAAATTTAATTTAATTTTCACATTGCTAGATTTCATTTTTGCATATAACATTATTACATGTTTCACTTCTCAATGTTAATCATCCATCTTTTTAAAGTCATCAATTTAATATCGTATCTACCATTAAAATCTCCTGATAATATGTGTATGCGAATCAAAAATAAGAAGGATTTTTTCATTTGATTTAATTTAAACCAACTAACCAATAACCTCAATATTTTCAAGTGATACTTTTATTCCTTTCCATTTCTTTTCTTACTTGTTTATGGTCTGATCACTTGTATTCATGATTTTATTGAACTTTTTAGTTGCTTCATTATACACTTTCCCCCTCCTTATGCAAATTCCACACTTAAAATATTCTTTATTATGCTATCAAAGTATACTTAAATTTAAAGCAGAAATTAAGTCTAATTAATCCGAGTGTGATTTAAGTGTGAATTTATGTACTTTGGGAAAAGGCTTTTAGTGAGTTTGATATAATAGATTTGCAACTCTGTGAGCACTTTGTAGACGTACCATCATCAGGAAAATAAATCTTGCATAAACCTACATAGGGTTCAGAATTGGCCAGCATTATGTCGATATTTTGGTAATTCTGTTAACATTTCCGCATAATGCTGGTCAGTTTTAAACCCTGGGTAGGTTTACATGAGATTTATTTTCCTGATGATAATATTGCGTTCAAGAAATTGAAGGCAAATTTTTGAAATGTGATTATCTTGAAAAATAGGCGAAGTTCAATGCTGTACTAGAACTTATTCAAAACAATCTGCTTGATACACTCATGAGTGAGTAATGTATGATGAAAATATGATCGGCTTGAAAAGCTTTTTGAAAAAAAAAAAATTCGATATTTAACAAAATTTAAACAAACCGTATACAGTCAAACCTCGTTTTCAACGAATCTGTGGGGGGGACACATAAGAAAATTACATCTAAAATTTATTACTATTATACCAAAATTACATATCGCGTTTCAGCGAATGGTTTTACATGTGAAGCAAAGATTTTGAAAAATTCGTTTGTAACATTTAATTATAACTCGTTGAAACGAGATTTGACCGTATAATATATATATATGAGTTCTCAGAGTTATTTTCTTAAACCATTTCTAAACTAATTTCGAATTGGTTTTTATTACAATTACTATTACTATTACTATTAGTAATTTTACGAACAATAAATTTGAGACATTACCTATATTTAACAATAAAGAATATTATTAAAACTTGTGGATTATACTAAACATTCACATACTGTTGAATTTTTGGCGAATGAAATCGAGCACATATTATCTATGAATAACATAGAAAAATTTACTGATCTTGTTACTGATGGTGCTGGAAACGTCAAAGTAGCAAGACAAATGATTAATCAAAAATATCCAAATATATTAAATTTAAAGATGCATTCCATAAATCTAATGACCAAATATATTATAAACTAAATGGGATATAATGTTCTTCATAACCGTTCAAAAATTATTTCATTTTTTAAGTATTGAATGAAGCAATAAAAAAATTTGAGATGTGGGAATTAAAGCATACATAAAAACACATTGGTCCTCGGCTTGGGATTGTTTATATTCTGTTAAACGATTGTAGGGTTGCTTTATCTGGATAAAAACTTTGACATTATACTATATTAAAATCACTTTTTTGTTCATAGATTATTTTAGACGACCCTTCTATCATTACTAATAGAGAATAGTTACGAATTAGAAATTTTCTGCTGATGTAAAAATTTTATAAGATATTCTGAAACTCGTCAGAGAGTGTCGTATTGATGCCACATTCAAAATAGAGGTTGGCACCGCGCAAAAATTCTTTAACCGATTAATTTAGTCACGTGGAATTTTTTAACTGGTAAATTCGATCGTTCATTACTTACAAAATAATTTGATGTTAAAAAAAAATTTGATCTTTCCTTACCTTTTTGGTTTTATTTTTTTATTTTTTATCTACCACGTCCATCTATCGGAGAGGTTTATTTTCTTTTGTTTGCTGTGGTCTAACCCTTTGATCAACTAACTCCAGAAATAATCAATAATCGAATGAGTGCGATAATAACTAAAAATAACGTACAATAATAAAATAATAATAAATAAATTGTTTGTTTATGTTGCAAGCAAAGTAGTCTATCTATATATATACAACAAACAAAAATTACGCTATATAGTACTAAAGTGTATGATTATTAAGTAAATACAGTTGTCGCGTAATAAAAATCACATTTGGTCAATGAATGAATGTGCTGTTGCAAAGTTTTTGTTCCGTTCGTGAATTAGTGCCTGTTTAACAGCCGAATACAATAATACTATTTAATTAACATCTACTGGTTAATCAATGTTATTCCTAACCTTTGCTTACTCACTAAAGCAAATTACGTTACTAATCATTGTAAACACTCACTAATCAACCAATGTTAGTCTAACCTTGCTTACTTGCTCATTAAAGCAAATAAATGTAGTTTTTCACCAAAGTTCCACAATTGTTACTTTTTACCAAGGCACCAACTACACTTGCTGCTTTTGTCAAAGCACTTTAAACAAAGAAAATGAAGACAATGTTTTTATTTTTAAAAGTTTATTAAATAATGATTATCAGAGTGAGTTTTATTTTATTAGAATGTTAATTATCTATTTTTTCTCTGCGAGGACCAGAAGTTACGCATTTTTCAAGCGAAGACCAGAAGTTATCCTTAATGAAATTTTGTTGATCACTATAATAAGGATAAAGATAAAGATGGGTCTATTATTGCAAAGTAATTTCCATGATTATTATTTACATAGCAATTTGATAATAATTATAAAAGCTTTGACATAAAATTTTCATAATAATTTTATACATTAAAATTAGTTGACCCTGGAACATAAAGTACCGAATCCCTAACCGACGATTTTATCTACTCCGATCATGTATCACGTTATTAATATAAGAGATGTTCGGGTTTTGTAGTAAACGAGTGTGTGGGAATTGAACTTTTGTATTCAGCAAAATAAAAACTTAGCTCCTTGGGAACAACTAAGGAAATTTGTGAGCTTTTGTATTTTATTAACCTTTAAAGCAATTCACTTGACTTAATGGCAACGAATTCGATGTAATAATTTTACAATTACAATTGTGGCAACATTTCGTCAAAAAATATCAGTTCGGAGCAACAAAATTAGCATTGGATGCGAAGCACCTTAGCATAATATCATGTTATTCATGGTCAATGATGCAATTTTTAATAAAATAGATTATTTCATGCTACCCCTAAAAAAAATGCAAAAAAGGGTGCATTGATTTTGCTTTTTTACGCTGCATTCGAATTTGAGGGTTGAAGTACATAGTGCTGAAATGGTCTTCTATACATGATTCAGCTTTACACGTTACATTTGAAATGCGAGGTGTCTATATATATATTCGTTCGGAGTATCAACATTAGCCAGTCATATTTTTTTTTCGTTGCGTTGAGCAAAAAATTTATTTATTAAAAAATTACATCATATACAAAGGGAAATTGTTCACGGGCTTAATAAATTTAATAAAAGATCCTTCACAAAGAAGAACCCTCATCCGAATTAAAAGTTATTTACAAATTTCGATTGTTAAAAAATCAACCAAGATTTTTTTCCTAATTAAAAAAAGAGAGATCTTTTATCCTGATCTTTTCCTTGTGGATCAATTAGTTTTTTTTTTCAAGTCTATCGCTATAGAAGGAATTTGACGATATAAAAATAACCACAACCACGTAAGCATAGTGGAAGTTTGTTGTTACACTAAATGTTGTACAGAACTCATTGCTTCTGAAACTTCGCCAGTGTATAGTTGCTACCTCTCTAAATTGGTGATCAAGTTCGGATCAAATTCAAATCCAGTTTATCACTTACTTTTTATTGCCAGTGTATTGTAACATTTCAAATTTCCACTGTGCTAACCACGTATCGTTTTTGGTAAACGAAAATATTTTTGTTCAATTTGCAAGTCGGTGCATTCAAATTGTTAAAATGTAAATATTACTATTACTCAAAAAAATTCATTTAGAAAGGAACCGTACGTAACACAGCAACTTTTCTTTTATGCATGTAACCACCCACATTCATTAAAAACAAAGTCGAATTTTATATTTTATATTTTTATATATAATAATATTATTATTATTAGTATTAGGGTGTATTCGAAATGTTTGAACGAAATTATTATTGAAACAAACCTATTTCGTCATCATGTATGCTTTTTAGTCGACATGAAAATTAAGTTCATTCGTTATATAATAAACAAGATTTTGTCCCCAGCTTGCCTGCCTTAACTGAGAAATTATGAAGTAAATAAAATTAATATTCGCCAAAAGCAAATAAACAATTTTCGTTTTGTAGATTATCACCTTGTGACACCTTGTGTTCTCATAAATAGTTACTCACGGTACCCACAGCCACACAAGAATCTTGTTTATTACTATAGTCCATTTTGTGACTTCTATTATGAGTACAAACTCCAGATTGACTGAAAGTTATATTAATACAGAAAATTATCAAACGACTTACTCCTTGATTATGAATACAACGAGACTTTAAATTGTGATCTAATAATAAATTATAAATGAAAATATAATAGTCTAACAAAAGAGCTTCATGCATTATTCAAAAAGGTTAATATCAAAGAAAAATAATGGTCGTGTAAAAATTTTCCGTTGTGCGATAAACATCTATAACCAAAACAATCTACTAATAAAGTATATATGAAAGTTAATGTGAAAGTTAATAGCAGTGACATAATGATCATTTTGTTGAGTTCTACCCTGTATAAAAAATATTGCGCATAAAAAATTTGCTGATGTAACTAATTTCCAGTTTCCATGTTTTTCATATTGTACTCGTATTATTCACAACAAATAACATTTTCATTTTGATATTATTACTATTTTTGTTGTAAAAGTTTCATTTGACGGTTATGGGAATGAGTTTTGTATTTATGTGTATCCTTATAAAAGGCAAAAATAATAACCCTTGTTTCAAATCGGAAATAGCAAAAGCAGCAGGTTTTATTTACAATACAATAAAGAATGTTGGTGAATAATTCAAAGCAACTGGCTAAACTTGCGGATAGACTTAATCTGCACGAAAAAACTCATATTGCTTATGAGGAGCTTCTTAAACATTATGCGTAGAATTGATAAGGATCGCTTTAAAGTTCAAAATATAATCCTTTAAAAACAGCGACTAAATGCGCCCAGGTAAGTTTGTCTAGTAATTTCTCGTTTTCCTTCTTTTATTCTGTTCTAGCATTCAGAAAGGATAACCCAATACAATATGATCTCGACAGTGCTCGAAGTAATTTAATGTTAGAAGGATCATTTAATGACGTAATGAATTTAATTTTTTAATTAATCAACAATTCTCTTTATCGGTAGTGATTTGGGTCATTCGTTATGCGAACTATTTCATTCTAACTTTTAATTTTTTCAGAACTCGCCTAAATGCATGAAAAAAGTTTGCAGGTAGATATTATTTCTTGGCAAATTCAAAAAAAATTTTTTTTTTTAATATTTCATAGAAACTTGTCATTTTAATACATTTATAACTGCGTCAACTATCAGCATCCACAAAACCAACATCCACAATATCAACCTCAACAGCACCAACCTTGACAACATCAACCTCAACAAAACCTAGATCAATAAGATCAACCTCAAACAATATCCCGATCAACAATATTCCCTTCAACAATATTCATCCCAACAATCTCCATTTCAACAACAACAAATTACCTTCGGAAATCCACAACCCAAACAACGACGATCCATTCAACTTGTATTATTTTTTTAATATATGTAAATTTTTTTTAGTAAACATTGTAACGTTAAAAAAAAAACAAAAACAAAAAAAAACAAAAACAATTTGCCCAATAAAGCAAGTAGGTTAATGTTAAGGCCCCGTGTAAAGAATATTGTGCAAAATTATTAATAAAAATTTTTGCAGATGTAATTAAATCTATTTTTACATACTGTACTCGTATTATTTCACAAAAAAGCTCGTTCATTTTGTTGTTATTATTATTGTTGTTGTTATTGTAAAGTTTCACTAATGGTCATGGGAATGAATCTATATTTATAGATAGATATCTTTATAAATAAAAGACAAAATAACAACCTTCCTCAGTTAAATAATAAAAAATGGAATTAGCCGCAGCACGTTTTGTTTATGGTAGGGTAAAGGGTTCTTCCAATGTCAAGAGTCAATACACGATGTTGTTGAGTAATGTAGACCAAATGATTAAACTTGTGGAAAAACTTAATGCGCAACAAAAAGCTCCTGCTACTTATGAGAAATTACTAAACCTTAGGCGTAGAATTGATAGGGATTGGTATGAAGTTCAAAGTAATCGTTTAAAAACAATGGCTAATTGCAATCAGGTAAGTTTGTCTATATATATCTGAATTTTGTATAATGATTTCTCATTTTCTTCCTTTTCTTCTGTTCTAGCATTCAGAAAGGTTAACCCAATATAAAAATGACATCGAAAATGTCCGAAATCAATTAATGTTAGAAGTATCATTTAGTAACGTAATGAATTTATTCTTTTAATTTAATCAATAATTCTCTTTATCAGTAGTGATCGTTACATGAACTATTTCATTCTAACTTTTCAATTTTTTTCAGAATTCGTCTCAAACGCATGAAAAAAGTTTGCAGGTAAATATTATTACGTTTGATTTCTTGGAAAATTCAAAAAAAAAAAATTTTTTTTAATGGAAAATTTGTCATTTTAATATCATCCACAAAACCAAACCATCCACAATATCAACCTCAACAGTATCAACCTCAACAGTATCAACCTCAACAGTATCAACCTCAACAGTATCAACCTCAATCTCGACAATATCAACCTCAACAATATTCAAACCAACCCCCGCCATATCAACAACATTCCCATCAACAATATTCATCCCAACTCTATGCACCTCAACCATATTCACCTCAACAAAATAACCAATTCCAGCAGCCCATGCACCAACAACAACAAACTATTACCTTCGGAAACCCATACCTCAACAATAACGATCCATTCAACACCCCTTTTTTTAAAAGTGGGGTTACCATCACCACCCCATCATTCCCCAACAATAACCAAGGTTTATTTCAACAACCACAAATTAGATTTCACTAGTTGGTAAACGCAGAGTATAAAATTTTATACTTGCATTATTTTTTTAATACTGCTTGCCCACACTATAAAACTACTATATATTTAATGGACTTTTTGAATTTGAACTTTTTATATTAAATTTATAAACTAATGTCAGTTTGTACCTTAGTTTCTCACATATATATATATATATTAATTTCATAAAAATTTATCGGTTTGTAAATCTTTCCTTCCGGCAAAGAAATAAATAAACTTAATATCGAAGATCTACGTTGGAGCCGACTGCACAACATGATACCTTCCCATTTATTTTATTATTACTGTATTAAGAATATTTAGACCTTTTTTTTTTATCAATAAAAGAGAACAAAATATTTTATACAATGATTTTTAGCAAATTTCTATATATTTCAGTGGGCATGACTAACCAAATTGGAAACAATGCATATAATTGATGAATAAATATTAATGATCAACAAGGAATATCATTATGAAAGCCGAACCTTTTCCTCAATCGTTAAAGACAAAGAAATTTTACTCAAATAAACAGACTAAAAATGACTAGAATTGAATTATTTCCAATAAAACGATGGATGGATTCAACCCAATATTAAGAGCCAATACAAAATGTTGACAAAACAAATAGCTAAACTTGCATATAAACTTAATCTACATCAAAAAGCTCCTATGGCTTATGAAGAGTTTCAAAGATTGATCAGAAATTCGGAATCATTTTTAAAAGGTAAAGTTTGAGTCTACTTTAATAATTAAATCAATGAATCGGTGAAATGATTGATATATTTCATAGTGGGAAATTGATCCAAAGATTATTTTTTTTTCTTTGCTTTTTATGGGTTCAAAAAAAAATGATGTTCATTTTGCACATGACTATTTACAATAATTACGTAATAGTAAATTAGCTCGCATAAAATAATAGAATTGGAGGTTAAACCATAATCGCGTTATTTCACTTTTTTATAATATTAACATTATATTTAATTCATAATCACTACAATGTCTAATATCGTTCTTCCTCTTTGTGTTCCTTCTTCATACAAAGATCAGCAATACCATGTACTTTCAATAAATTTTTTTCCTCTCTTTATTAAAATTTTCAATTAAATTTTTTTACTAAATCAGAAAAAAAATATTTTTAAATTAGGGATCTACTGTAGAACTTAGCAAAGATCTAGCCAACAGTACAACCTTATATGTTGGAAATTTATCATTTTATACAACAGAAGAACAGATCTACGAACTATTTTCAAAAGCAGGAGAAATCAAAAGGATAATTATGGGATTGGATAAATTTCAAAAAACACCTTGTGGTTTTTGTTTTGTTGAGTAAGTTAGGATTTTTTTATTTTTTAAGGGGAAAAAAAATTTACTTAATATTAATCATTGAAATTTTTTTTTTTTTGTGGTTGTTTTGTGAAGGTACTATTCACATAAAGATGCATTAGATTGTATGAAATATATTAATAGTACTAAATTAGATGAAAGAATCATTAGAACAGATTTAGATCCTGGGTATAAAGATGGAAGACAATTTGGAAGAGGCAGATCTGGCGGTCAGGTATAATATATATACATATAATGCATTATAGGAATTATTTGTTTATTCATGTAAACAATGTAATATATATTGTATAAATAATAAATATAGGTTAGAGATGAGTATAGACAAGATTATGATACAGGGCGTGGTGGATGGGGACATTTTCGTGCAAAGCAAGAAGCAGAACGTGCAAAAAGACAAAAAGAAGAATATGAAGCCATTACTTCTATTCCTACAGGTGCTGGTGAATACAAAGGCAAAGGTAATCAATTATAGAGTGAATATTGATATTTTGAATTTGAAATTAAATATTATAATATTATTTGTTGATCAAATCCTTTTGCTATTATTGTTGTTATGATGAATATTTAGGAACTACATCAAGGAAACGTGAAAGAGATAGTGATGATCAAGGGCATGAAAATCAACCTCGTGAAAAGAACCCACGCTTTAGAGAAGACAAATCAGATGATGAGGAGGATAGAATGCAAACTGATGTTTAATATTGTAATGATAATTATTTTTTTTTTTGGATGATTAATCTTATTGAAAACATTTTATTAATAGTTAATCCATTTTATCAAAATGAAATATTGCAGGTTTACCAATTATAATGAATCAATGAGATGTTCTTTTAAAAAAAGAAAATTATATAGATTATAAATAAAAAGAACAATAATTTAATTTAATAATTAATAATTAATTTACCATTTTCAAATAAGCAAACTAATTAGTTACTACAAAAAATTCTTCTACGATACTTTAGATGAAATAAAAGAGCATGGGTTTAGATTATGGCTAGGGCGATATTATTCACACAAATAAATTTTTCTACAATCTCTGCAAAGAAACCAAGATTCTACCAATGTTCGCTGATGTGACTTGCATTCCATAATTAATCTTTCAGATATACATACATACTTTCCCAAAAAAAATTATTTTCACTTTCTTGAGTATTAGCTTAAACAATATTACTTTCCAGCAACCAACCATCTATCTAACATTTTCATTATTAGAAGAAACATTTGAGATTCCAAAAAAAAATTTATTTCTCAAAAAAAAAACCCATGTATGTACAATATTAGTATATACATAATGAGCATTGGTGACTTTTTTAATCTCCGTCATTCAAAATTAACTATTGGCATATAATAGATTTTTGACACAGTTCCTTTGAAAATGAAATAATAAAATAAATATGATGATGATTACAGGTGTCAGATTTAATAGAATTTTCCCATCACAAACATATGGTCAAGTGCTCTTAACACACTTCAGCGTCATGGAATTTTTTCCACAGTTTGAAGCACCCCACATGTTAGAAGGCTTTTTAAGTTGACAAAACTCCCCTTATCTTCCTCTCAAACCAGGCTTGGCTATTATATTGCAGTATTGATTGCTGATGAGATAAAATCAGTGACGGCAACTTAGGAGGTTGCAACCTGGGTTGCTGTTTTGTTAGGCACACTTACTAAATTTCTTAGATGAAATAAATGATATATAGCGTTTGCTTTCAATTATCTTAATTACCATTTGAACTTTCTTTTGCATCATGAAGTCAAGATCCTATTTTGTAGACTTGGGGAATATTTAGCAAAAGCCTGTGTCTCCTGCCTAAAATTTAAAATCAAACCAAAAAAAAACAGACGCGTTTTTTCTAAAGCGCGTATTAATATGCACTTATTGTATCACAGCCACATGAAGATTATGTAAGATTGTGTTTTGCTTCAGCAGTTTTGTCAATTTATTATTATTACAATAATATATACATAAATTATTACAATAATAAATAAATAATTAATTAATTGTTTTTATACTAGTTAGATAATTGTTAACGCATCATTAATTGAAGTAATTAAAGGAATGTATAATGCAGGTTGTATATAGAAGCGTCATATTGTAAAGATATAATTGATGAAAGATTCACAGTTGGTAGAGATTCTACGAACGTTTATTATACCAATCGGGATGTAATGTGTAACATTGTATGATTACTCCATTATATCATTCTAAAAATTTATCTGTGAATAATAATTACTTGCAACAAAATAATAATTCTTTAACACAAACTAGTGGCTGTAATTAATTTCATGTAATCTATTAAAAAATATGTGCTTGTAAATTTTGAATGTAAATGTATACTAATACTGTCTATACAAAAAAAATTAGTGATACATTAATTCGGGGCTTTAGAATATCCCGAGGATCAATAAGGATAAATTCATTATTATATAACTTTAATTTGAACTAACAATTGTCGTCGCAATGCACAATCTTCTTCAGTGACAGTATGCTGCTCATTTCTTTATAATGCTAAAGCTCAAATAATGAGGTGCAAGAGATACTTCAACAGAAATACAATAAAAATTTTCAAGTACTCATTGTCTTTCCAATAGTTGTTGAATTAGAATGAAAATCGGAGAACAGAGATGATGACATTCAATTACTAGTAAAAAATAGGTGAGTGGCAATTATTGGCATATATAGTAATAGAACTCTTAAAGCAGTTGAGTTGGAACATTATAATTTTAATGTTACAAAAAATAAAAAAATAAAAACTCGATCAAATTTTTTCATATGACATTCATTACATTTACCTAATTGTGATGTGTTGCTTTTAATATAAGCATACAGGGAATGGGAAATTGAAAGCCAATGTTTAAAAAAATCATTTAGAATGCAAATGATACCTGTATTTTCATATTTTTAACCTGCAATATCCCATTCCGGCTGTTCCAAATTAATAAACAATTCCATTAATTGAACTTACACTTTATCACCTCTAGATAAAAAATTAATTGCCTCATGAAATTTACTATCTTCTACTTGTAATAAAATTAATATTAACTTGAAAATATTAAATGAAATGTAGTGTTGTTTTGACATGGTTGGAATTATGCCATTTCACATTAATATTAAAGAGATCATTTTGACATCAGGAAAATTATGTATTATTATTATATTAATAAAAACATGTAATTCTGAATTGGAGGTAAATTTATTCAAACTTCTCAGAAATAATAAATAAATTATTAATAAACATGGAAATAATGAAATAAATAAATAAATATCTACCCATCAACAATTCTCTGATTTTAACCTTATAAATTACTTATCATCATCATCATATTTAAATTAATAAATTTCAATTAATTAACTAACTATTTAATCTCCTTATTAAAATTATATTTCATTAATATCAAGGTCACTTAATAAACTATCATTGCTTTTTAAGTTCAACTTAACAAATTCATCATTTACATCATTTAATATTCTACTTGTATGATATGCTAATGGATGTGGTTTGTGAATTTGTTGTGAATTACTATTAATAATATTACTAATATCATTATGACTATCAGCAAAATCACAAAGCTCTTCAATAGTTGGTCTCTTGGCTGGATCCACATCCCAACACCTTTGCATCATTTGTACATAATCATCAGGCATTCCTGGTAATATTGGTGGACGTAAACCTTCACATATTCTTAATTGCAAATGAAAATCATGAGCCCTATCATCAAATGGTGGATGACCTGCAAATATTTCCCACATTAACATCCCAACACTATAAACATCAGTTTCTTTTGTGTATTTTGTATTACTTTTGCCTCCAAGTAGCTCAGGTGCAATATAAGATACAATTCCATAAATTTTGTTTGATGATTCAACTGGTCCACATAATCCTAAATCTGTGATATAACAACCACCTCCTTGCAATAATATATTACCACTATGTAAATCACAATGAATTAAATCTTTTTCATGTATATGATATAATGCATTACATAAATACATAAAAATATCAATTCTATCTTTTAATGTTAAATTATTATGATTTTTTTGTATATAATCTCTTAAATTTCCCTCTTGCAGGTAATTAAGCACCATTGCATAATTTCCATTTTCTGGGAATTTGGTTATACCAAAACAAGGAACAATCATTCCTGATTTGATTTTACAATAATTCAATGCCTAAAATTAATTATATAAATAAAATCAATTAATTTAAAATAAAATAAATGGCTTATTTTAAATAAGAACAATTACCTCATCAAAAAAAGGGTTTCCTGGGTTACTTGAATTATTTAATGATTTTAATACTATATTCTGATCTCCAAAATAACTAAACTCCTTTTTATTTTCATCATAATCAACAATATGTCCTCTTGTCCACCCAGCAGTATAAATAGAACTGAATCCACCTTCTGTTAACTTTTATATGTCATGAAATTGTTCATAAGGTATCCATTCTATAATTCTATTTGGAAGAGATGAAAGCTGTTGACATTTTTGAATAAAACCATCAATTATCTCATTCCAAGATGTCCAAGTGCTGAAAAGGTTCTGTAAGTGTAGACTAATACACTTTTCACAAAATTTATCAGAGTATCTAGTTGTTTTACAATTATTGCATTCTCTTGGTTCACCCCATTTATAAGTTGCCTTCTCTAATTCAAAATTATAAATAAACCTTTCTCTACAAAATTCCTTTTCACTTTCTAATAGTACTTTGTTTTCTTTGACTAATTGTAAAAAATATTTTTTTCTGTAACTGTTAGAAGTTGGAAAAGCATACCGAGCAATACTATACATTTCATTATCAATTTTAAATACTAATTCTATTCTGCCTTGTGTTAATAAATCAGTAAAGGACATTTTAACTTTTTAATATTTATTTTTTAAAATAAGTAATAAAGTCTTTGTTTTCTGCGCACCCGCACAAAATGCAGGGTGCATAAGTTTAAAAAATCAAATATGGTATAATTTTGTAAGCAATGCACACGAATTTAATATGCGCCGTTTTCTTGCAAAAAACTCAATTTTGGCCGGGGTCCTCAGACCTCATATTGCTGGTGGACATCCCATTGGATGCCAATTACAGTTTGACTTTTGTGATTTAGATGTTTTCTTTTTTTTTTTGGTACCTTCAAACAAAAGTTTGTTCTCATATGTCATTTTCAAATTTTTCTTAAATCCTTGTTGTTGGGCCCATTGTTTAATATATATTTGACGCCAACTTTCCAAATGCATACTAGAATCCAATTTTATGTTAGCTTCGACATCAACTCCCTCGTTCTCATCATCCTCCTCCTTTCCTCAATAATATCATCACCAGGGCTGGAAATAGTACTTTAAAAATCCGGATTTTCCTTTTAAAATTTTTAACTTCCGGAAAAAAAAGAGTTGCCGGATATTTTTCCTTTTATTTTTTTTTTTGTACAGACAGATTTTCCATATGCATAAAAAAAATTACCAAAATTTAATATATATATGCTATTACTTCAATATTTTAAAAAAGAACAGCCAGAATCACAATTTTTATCTTTTGAATTTTCAGAAGAAAAGTATTGACTCAATTAATATCTATTTCAAAATATATA